GCTGCGTCTAAAAGGCATAAACACTAAAAAAATGCTCAATACAAAAATCCAAAATAGAAAATGCAGAGCAAAAACATTTACAAAACACTCAAAAGCGACCTCCCTTGCTACATGGGGGAGGAGGGTAAAGATTTATTCATCGATCACATCCGGGTTCGTACATACCGTATGAACCCGGATGAGTGCACAATGAATAATTTTTGTCCGTCCACCACTCCCTATTTTCCTTCTGGTGTCTTTACCTTCCCCCCCCTTACGCTTTTCACCTTCTTTTCCTTTGGTCATATAAACTGATGGAATATACTAGATTGCGAATCCTTCTATGTCACTGAAGAGACCTTGCGGTCGAAACCCAGGTAGCAAAGTAAACTGCATTTTAGTGATTTTGTATATATATATATATATATATATATATATATATATATAGCTTTAAGGTGTGCTATATTTATGGGATAAAGTGCTCAATATCAGAGATAAAGCGTATGTAAATAAAATTATAAAAGTGAACATTGAAGTCAACACACATACGCGACAGGCTGTTTCATGCTGGACGCAATCGTCAGGCCGCGAATTTCCTCGGCTATTTATATATATGGATCAGTGGTGCATTGTGGGTAATCTCTTCTGGCGGTTATTTTTGCTGGAGTGGCTTGTTTATTTATTTATTTGTTTGTTTGGGTTAATTTATTTTACTTGTTTTATATTGTTTATTCTTTATATATATACATATATATATATGTATATCTGTTGGGGGTGTTTTTGTGTGTGTGTGTGTACAAAAAATTTTTCTGCTATCCGTCGGCTGATATAAAACCCCAAAACACCAATGACTGTTCTCTCTCTCTCTCTCTCTCTCTCTCTCTCTCTCTCCATATATATATATATATATATATATATATATTAAATAAAAGTGTAGATAAAGTGATGACATGTATACTAAATTCATAATCTGTCAGTATGTAAAAGTTATTAATCCTAACAAATACCTTCGATTTATCATCAATTATAAATGAATTAAAAATGTCGAATTTAATTCTTAAAAATAATTCATCGCCTCAAAAATTTACTCTATGTAATAATAATGTAATGTATTAAATCTTATGTCATTTGGATGATTGTATTTCCAACACAAGTAATCAACAAACAACATTAAATTCTTACATTGGTCACATATACACCACACACTCTCGTAGACGGACTTGTCATTTGTAAAAATTTACTACAGTTCACTAACATGTGGCAAATAAAAAAGATAATATTATGATAAGACCAATTTTAACAGATAGCATCTAACCTAGTGGATGGGCAGCTGCATACTGGACATTTGCAACCCTAGACAAATGCGTCCCTAGACAAATGCGTCCCTAGATAATTGCGTAACTTTGATCATTTTTTGAATGTACCATTTCTTTTAAGGAGTTGTTTAATATAGAAATTTTCACATCAATATATTTAATTACTTTAAACAAGCAGAAAATTAGGTACCATGAATAAAAAGAGAGAATAATTTCTTTTTGTTAACCCTTTTTTGTCCAGGCGTTCATGAACAATTTTAACCATTTGTCTTGAGTTTCTGAGTCAAAATTCACAAAGAATTGGTATGTGTAATGTTTCACGGTAGATATATAAATAGTTACAAGTGTTTACCCACCGATTAACCGGTATCTGGATATTAAGTCATTTTCTCAACCACTGTTCAACCGGTGGCTCGGCATTATGTCATTTTTCTCTACCACTCAAAGGGATCAAAGTGCTAAAGGAAATTAATCTAGAAGTTTCGGTTCACTCCAACAGTGCGTATCACAAACATCTAATAGATTCTGGATTTTATAGATTATATTTTTATTTGGTACCCAGAGCTAAGTTCTGAAAATCAAAAACACTGGCGGAAAAATATTTGTGGACGAGGAAAATTACAGCCACCAATATCATAAGAAAATGTTGTTTAATATAGAAACTCCAGTAACTGTCATCGTTCTTTCCAATATTGATGGGAGTTTCCTTCCTAATCTTTTGTTTGAAGTGGTGTGGAAAGTTGATTGTATCATTATTTTCTCTTCGAGTTACATGTGCTATACATTTTAGTTGTTACTGCTACTGGTAGTCTCCAAGTGATTTCTGTTATTTGATACAATTCTTTGTTATTCGCAAGTCCATAAGGTTCAAAGAAGGATGATCTTTGACAAAAACCCCCAAACTTTATTCACTCAAAGCCTTTTTTCATGGTGGACGAACAGTTGCATCCCGGACAACTGCATACCAGACAATTGTATCTCCGGACATTTGCGTCCCCTAGACAAATCATCCATGGATAACTGCGTACCTCTAATAATTTTTTGATGTTATCATTATTTTTAAAGTGTTGTTTAATATAGAAATTTACATACCAATACCTTTAATTATTGTAAATAAGCAGAAAGGTAGTTACCATAAATGGAAAAAGAAAGCAAAATGTATTTTTGAAAGCAAGAGAAAATTAAGCTAGCAATTTCAGTTCAAACCAGCACTGCGTACCACAAACATCTAATAGATTCTGGATTTTATAGATTATATTTTTATTTGGTACCCAGAGCTAAGTTCTGAAAATCAAAAACACTGGTGGAAAAATATTTGTGGACGAGGAAAATTACAGCCACCAATATCGTAAGGAAATGCCGATGAAGAAAAAAACATACTGGCGAGGTATATAAAAATAATTTATCCTAACAAATACATTAGATTTATTACCAATTATAAATTAATTAAAAATGTCGAATCTAATTCTTAGAAATAATTCAACCTACCCTATGTAAAAATAATGTAATGTATTAAATCTTATGTCATTTGGGAGATTGTATCTCCACAAAAACAATCAACAAACAACATTAAATTCTTACATTGGTCCCATATACACCACACACTCTCGTAGGTTAACTTGTCATTTGTCAAAATTTATTACATTTCGCGCACATATTGATGAACATATAGAAAATAGACAAAATAATTTTAACATAAGACCAATTTTAATGGATGACACCAAACCTAGTAGACGGACAGTTGCATACTAGACATTTTCACCCCTGGATATTTGCGTCCCTAGATAAATGCATTCCTGGATAATTACGTATCTTTGGTCATTTTTTAAAGTTACCATTTCTTTTAAGGAGTTGTTTATTGTTTAATATAGAAATTTGCACGCCAATATCTTTAATTACTTTAAACAAGCAGAAAAGTAGGTACCATAAATAAGAAAAGAGATCAAAATTTCTTTGTCAAAGCATGAGGAAAATTAAGCTATCAGTTTCAATTCACTAGTGCGTACCACAAACATCTAAAAGATTCTGGATTTTATAGATTATATTTTTATTTCGAACCCATGACTAAATTCCGAAAATCAAACAGTAGTGGAAAAATATTTGTGGACGAGAAAAATTACAGCTACGACTATCATAAGAAAAACGCCGATAAAACAAAAACATAATGGCGATGTGTAGAGTGATCTTGCAACACTGTTAATCTGTCATTTAAACAAAAATAAACTTTTAATTTTTTTATTTTTTTTTCGTTTATTCCTGTTTTAAAATATATGATTAATACCTATGCTTTTTTTTTCAAAATTTATTAAATTTTCCGTTAAAAGCTTCAAAAAATTATTAGAGGTCCGCAGTTATCCAGGGACTCATTTGTCTAGGGACGCAAATGTCCAGGGAGGCAATTGTCAGGGACGCAACTGTCCTAGAATCGTGATTAAAAAAAGTGTTACGAGGATGAAACCAGCCTCTACAAGTGACCCAGTGGTAAAAGCATTGGTTGGATCCAGTGACTTGACCTAAAGAGTTGTGAGTTCAATACCAGGCTACTGCAGTGATGAACAAAAGCATGGAGAGTTAAGTTGAAGGAGGATAACTGAGACATCCAGAGGCATGGAACGTGGAACTAGAACAATCTACTCCGGTGGACGAAATAAAGGGTTCAGTTCGAAATTCCAATCACCTGAGGAAAATTAATCTAGCAGTTTCAGTTCACTCCAGCAGTGCATACCACAAATAGATTCTGGATTTTATAGATTATATTTTTATTTCGTACCCATGTCTAAGTTCCGAAAATCAAACACTAATGGAAAAATATTTGTGGACGAGGAAAATTACAGCTACGACTATCATAAGAAAAACGCCGATAAAACAAAAACATCATGGCGATGTGTAGAGTGATCTTGCAACACTGTTAATCTGTCATTTAAACAAAAATAAACTTTTAATTTTTTTTTTATTTTATTTCTTTTATTCCTGTTTTAAAAAATAATGATTAATACCTATGCGTTTTTTTTCCAAATTTATGGTAATTGGCTTTGAAAGCTTCAAAAATTTATCAGAGATCCGCAATTATGCAGGGAAGATTCTTGTCTAGGAACGCAAATGTCCAGAGACGCAATTGTCTGGTAGGCAATTGTTCTAGAACCCACCAAATCTTTCTCCTCCTATTTGAAAAGTGGTCTCGTCTCTTCGTGCAATGAGGAAGACGTCGCCGCAGGGTTCGAATCTCCAGGTCCAGGCGTTATCTTCCTTGATTAAAACAACAAATGCCACGTAATGATCCAGGTCTTCGACCCGGGAAGCGTTCGCGCCGCCTGGACAACGTAAGTAAAACAATCCCTAAATTAATACATAAAACAAATACCCAATTTACTGGCACAACTGCTTCAAAGTGACAATCAACAAAGGAAGCCGACAGAAACTAATAACTAATGAGTTAATGCCCGATGTGCTATCGGACTTGCTTCATGGCAACTACGAAATTCATGCGCTGTTTTTCTCATACTGAAATCAAATCGCACGTCTTTCTGTTGTGGTAAAATGGTGATACGGGTTTTTATTTATTTATAATTTTGTATATAACAAACAGACACGTGTGTTGAGTGAAGCGCGCGCTTTCAAGTCGTGTATAATTGATAGGAAAGCACATATGCAATTTCTTAATGATTTGCGTGTGCTTCTGCTCAGGTTTCCGTCTTGATCAGTAGA